CTATATACCATCTATAGCCTGTGAAGAAGGGATCACCACACCTACCTGAACTTGTTCCCCCAATACATCCAGCTGTTCCCTCCATACTGGGACCACTGTTCTTCCAACTCACCTCTCCCACTCCCCTAGACCCTGCCTTCATCTCCTGTCCTGTCCACGGGCAGATGCCCTTCCAGGCCCTGCTGTCTATAAGGGCCATGCCTTAGTCTGTTTAGATTGCTTAAACAAGATACCATAGAGTGGGTTGCTTCATAGAACTGAAATTTATTTCTCACAGTTCTGGAGCCTGGAAGTCTGCAATGAGGGTGCCAGCATGGTTGTGTGACAACCCTCTTTTTGGTTGCAGACTTGTCATTGTGCCCTCATGTGGCAGAAGGGTCAAGGGAGCTCTCTGGGAGCTGTTTTATAAAAGCACTAATTCCATTCATGAAAGCTCCTCTCTTATGACCTGATCACCTCCCAAAGGCCCCACCAAATAATACAGTGACATTGGGTGTTAGGATTCCAACATGTGAATTTGGTGGGGCATGAACATTCTGACTACAGCAGGCCAATATTTCTTTTGCTTAATGCCTTCACTTTTTTCACCGAGCCCCTTAGTCCCCCTTCCCTCTGATAGCTGTCAGTGTGTCCTATCTATGAGCCTGATTCTATTCTGTTTATTTTGTTAATTACATTCCACATATAAGTGAGATCACATGGTATTTATCTTTTACAGACTGACTTATTTCACTTAACATAATACTCTCTAGGTCCATCTATGCTGTCCCAAAAGGTAACATTTCTTTCTTTTTCATGGCTGAGTAGTATTCCATGGCGTAAATGTACCACAGCTTTTTTATCTACTTATCTATGATGGGCATTTGGGCCACATCCATATCTTGGATTTTATAAATAATGTTGCAATGAACATAAGAGTCCATAATTCTTTCAAATCAGTTTTTTTGGTATTTTTGGATATATTCCCAGAAGTGGACTAGCTGCGTCATAAGATAGTTCAATTTTTAATTTTTTGAGGAAACTCCACACTGTTTTCACAGTGGCCACACCAATCTGCACTCCCCCCAACAATGTATCAGGGCTCTTTTTTCTCCACAACCTCACTAAGACTTGTTTGTTGATTTATTGATGATAACCCTTCTGACAGGTATGAGGTGATATCTCATTGTGGTTTTCATTTGCATTTTTCTGATGATAAGTGATGCTAATCATATTTTCATATGTCTGTTGGCCATCTGTAGGTCCTTTTTGGAGAAGTGTATATTCAGGTTCTTTGTCCATCTTTAAAATGGATTGTTTGGGGGTTGGGGAAGGTTAGTGTTAATTATAGAAGTTCTTTATAAGTTTTGGATGTTAACCCCTTATCAGATATATCATTGGCAAATCTGTTCTCCCATTCAGTGGGTTATCTTTTCATTTTGTTGGTAATGGTTTTCTTTGCTGTGCATTAACTTTTTAGTTTGATGTAGTCCTATTTGCTTGTTGTGTTGTTGCTATTGTTGTTTACCTTGTTCAAGGAGGTATGTTAGAAAAAATAGTACCACCAGAAGTGTCTGAGGTTTTACTGCCTATGTTTTCTTCTAGGATTTTTATGGTTTCGAGTCTGACATTTAATTCTTTAACCCATTTTGAGTTATTCTTGTGTATGGTATAAGCAAGTGGTCTATTTTCTTTTGTGTGTGTGTGTAGGTGGAGCTGTCCAATTTTCCCAACACCACCTATTAAATATACCATCTTTACCTCATTGTATGTTCTTGCCTCCTTTGTCAAATATTAATTGACCAGAAAGCCATGGGTTGATTTCTGGGCTCTCTATTCTGTTTCATTGATCTAATGCTTGTTCTTATGCCAGTACCATGATGTTTTTATTACTATGGCTTTGTAATATAGTTTGATATCAGGTAACATGATACCTCCAACAACTTTGTTCTTCTTTCTCAAGATTGCTGAGGCTATTCATGGACTTTTTAAAAGATTTCCAACACAAAAGAATATTGAATTAAACTGTAATTGAAAAATAAATTTTTTAAAGGAATTACTCTTTTATTTGTTTTTTTCTTACTTTATTTTTCATTTTTTACACAATTACAGATGGCTTCATTTTCCCTCCCTTTCCCCCCTTCCCTTGACCCTTACCCCCCAGTCCCCTTCACTCTGGCCATCATCACACTGTTTTATGTGTCAGTGGGCTATGTGGGTTATGCATACATGTTCTTTGGCTAATCCCTTTACCTTCTTTCACCCAGTCCCCCCCTCCACAGCCATCAGTCTGTTCCATGCACCATGCCTCTGTTTCTGTTTTGTTTTTCAGTTTATTTTGTTTATTATATTCCACATATAAGTGAGATCATATGGTATTTGTCTTTTTCAGATTGATTTATTTCTGCTAACAAAATAATCTCCAGGTCCATCCATGCTGTCACAAAAGGTAAGTGCTTCTCCTTGCTCTGTAGTATTCCATTGTGTAATACCACAGCTTCTTTTATCCATTACTCTACTAATGGGCACTTTGGTTGTTTCCAAATCTTGGTTATTAAAAACAGCATTGCAATGAACATAGGGGTGCATATATGCTTTCGAATTGATGTTTCAGCGTTCTTAGGATATACTCCCAGAAGTAGAATTGCTTGGTCAAAAGGCAGTTTCATTTTTAATTTTTTGAGGAAACACCATACTGTTTTCTATGGTGGCTGCGCCAGTCTGCATTCTCACCAGCAGTGCACTAGGGTTCCTTTTTCTCCATATCCTCACCAGCATTTTTTGTTTGTTGATTTATTTATTGTAGCCATTTTGGCAGGTATGAGGTGATATCTCATTGTGGTTTTAATTTGTATCTCTCTGATGGCAAGTGATGTTGAGCATCTTTTCATAATCTATTGGCCATTGTATGCCCTCTTTGGAGAAGTGTTTACTCAGGTCCTTTGCCCATTTTTTAATTGGGTTGTTTGTCTTCCTGCTGTTGAGTTGTATAAGTTCTTTATATATTTTATAAATTAACCCTGTATCAGATGTATCATCGGCAAATTTGTTCTTTCATTTAGTGGATTCCCTTTTCATTTTGTTGATGGTTTCTTTAGCTGTGCAAAAGCTTTTCAATTTGATGTAGTCCCATTTGTTTATTTTTTTCTTTCTTTTCCTTGCCCTAGGAGACATAGGCAAAAATATTGCTACAAGAGATGTCTGAAATTTTACTGCCTATGTTTTCTTCTAGGATTTTTATGGTTTTATGATTTACATTTAAGTCTTTTATTCATTTTCAGTTTATTCTTGTATATGGTGTTTGTTGTACTCTAGTTACATTTTTTGCATGTACTTGTCCAAGTTTCTCAACATCACTTATTAAAGAGACTATCTTTACTCCATTGTATGCTCATGATTCTTCTGTCAAATGTTAATTGACCTTAAAGGCATGGGTTTATTTCTGGGCTCTCTGTTCTGTTCCATTGATCTATATGTCTGTTCTTATGCCAGTACCAGTCTCTTTTGATTATAATGGCCTTGTTGAATAATTTGATATCAGGTATTCTGATACCTCCAACTTTGTTCTTCTTTCTCAAGATTGCTGAGGCTATTTGCATCTTCTGGGGTTCCATATAAATTTTTGGAGTATTTCTTATAGATCTCCATTGGTATCGTAATAGGAACTGCATTGAATCCATAGATTGCTTTGGGTAGTATTCAAGGTCTTTTGTGGTTCCATATAAATTTTTGGAATATTTGTTCTAGATTTGTGAAACACATCATTAGAATTTTGATAAAAATTGTGTTGAATCTACAGATTTCTTTGTGTAGCATGGATATTTTTAAAAATGTTAATTCTTCCTAACCCTGAACATGGTTTATGCTTCCACTGTTTTGTATCTTTTTCCTTTTCTTTCTTTAAGTATCTTATAATTTTCTAATCACAGGTCTTTTACCTTCTTGGTTAAATTTATTTCTAGGTATCTTATTTTTTTGTTGCAATTGTAAATGGGATTATTTTATTTGTTTCTCTTTCTGATAGTTCACTATAGGTGTATAAAAATGCCACCACTTCTGAATATTAATTTTGTAACTTAGTGGGTCACTTTTTAAGGTTCAGTGCTGTCAGCCACAGAATGAGTGTTGGACTATATCTACTCTTCAGGTTAGGGTCTTTGAAAGTTGTGATAAGAGTTTACAGCTAATTTTTAGTATCAAAAGTCTTTGAGACTTTTTAAATCATAAATTAACTTGTGATGAAAGTGCACTGACTAAGTGAAAGATTCCTTTGTTTTACTTGAACTATAATGACATCATCTCAGGGTGTTAACCATGTCTCTCACATGTTGCTCAGAATTGTGGCTGACATAGGCCAGCTAGAAAAATAAATGAATTATAAATTATTTTGGTTTGAAAGATAAAGTGTTTCAAAGCATAGGACCCACCAGGAGTGAGATTAATGGGCAATTCCAGTGTTGCCATTGTTGGTTCCACTGGTATAGATGATGTCTAACTCATTTCCAGTCTCAACCTACTAAGACTGTGGTCATGGTTATTTATTTGTACTAGGGGAGTGAGAAGGGCTCATAGACACTGCAAATATACCCCAAGGACCAGGGTCCTATAGACACTGGTCAGGCATAAAAACTTTCATTATCCTTGCCAGCCCTCTCCAAGCCCATAGACTGCCTTCCTATAATCCACTGACTACTCAAGCTCCCATGTCTGGCCCTACAGTTGCCACACCATGTGCCAAATTACTGACATCTGAACTAAACTCTGCAACCCCCTGTGTCCTATTCCTCAGGGGCTCAAATGCTAAATTTAGCCTATGTTCAGCAAATATTCATGAGTGTTCAGAGCCAATAACTTAATGGGGGCCTTCTTTAGAGGTGATGTCTTTTTCCAAAGTATCTCTGATTAAAACAAGTAAACAAGCGCAGTCCTTCACATAAGCACACAATGATTCACTTTAAGAGGATGGCCTAAATGCAATGCCTCTTGTCTAAATGTGAGCCACTTTCTACTGACAAACTGCATCACGGGGTCAATAACCCCATTCTGGCTTTCCAGTTGCTAGCTGTAAGGTCACAGGGTGTATGCCTCGGCAGCTGGTCAGGAGAAGATGGTGGAAACCTTTTGGGTGGCATGCAATATCTCACTTTTTTCCAGAACTTGGTCTTTGCACACAGTGACTCCTCTGTGAAGTCCCCACTCCACTGGAGAGACCCATGCTTCTGTTTGATGTACTGGATTGACTCTGGCATGACTGTATAGTTTTTTACTTTCTCCACTTCGATTAGAATGACCTTCATCCCATCCTGGATAAGAGCATTGTAGACAGCAATTTGTTCTGATATGTTCTTTAGTAGGTCAAAGCCCCGTGACTCAGGAACTATGATGATCAGTCTCCTACACTGCTTAATGTTTTCATCGATGACACTGGCCACAGCTGCAAATAGAGAAAGAAGGAACAGAAGATCTCATTATTGAAACAGCCCAGATCTTAATGTTCTTGAGAATATTATAAATGGATGTTAAAAAGGAACTTTAAAATAAACATGACTTAGGACTGGATTAACAAGAGGTTTTTATTTTTTCCCTCACTTGAGGACATTTTTTTGTTTCTTTTAGAGAGGAACAGAGAGGGAGAAACATTAACTGGTTGCTTTTTCATATGTGCTCTGACCAGGGATCGAACCTGCAGCCTGGATGTGCCCCAACTGGGAACTGAACCCACAACTTTTCAGTCTATGAGATGACACTCTAACCAACTGAACCGCACCAGTCAAGGCAACATGAGAGTTCTTTCTTTTTAAACATTTATCATCTCCTCTGAAAATTTCCTTACTTTCCCTGAAAAATTAGTCCTTTGTGTTCATGAAATATGTATTTTGGCAGTTAGTTGTTGGTATGTCACTTTCCTCAGCCCACTGGCTCCACCCACACATCATGAACTGCTCACAACAAGGATTTTATCATGCCTAGTTTTTTATCCCCAGATTTAGCTGAAGGTCTGATATAAGATGATAAACAGATCTTTTTTAAAATAGACTTTTAAAGGATAAGAAAAATATAGTTAGTTTAAATGACATATTAATCTTTATTCATGTTTTCCTCTTATGCTTTAAAGCTATTTAAATGGCCAGGATTTATAGGACTAACTAAAAACCAGATGATATAGCCTGATGATTTCTGGGAGCAGGAAGGGGAGAGTTCTTTAAATATCCAGCTATGAAAAAAACTTCTTTTTTTTTAAAGAAATAAAGGTCAAATTTTATATCCTTCTTATACTTAGGATAAAAATAGGCAACAGCTTACCCAAGAGCAGACTTTTTTTCTCTTTGGCTTATTTTAATATTTCTAAAGCCTAGAAAATTACCTGAGAATTATTGAGCACATAGCTGGTACTCAATAAGTATTTGTTGAATAAATGAATGAGTGAATATTGATATGGTTATGAAATCAGAGCTCTTCCACATGTTTATAACAAGCACTGGACTAAACTATCATTTTCTTGTAGAGGATGATTTCATAACTTGAAAAGATCTGGACTGAGATATTAGGGTGGTCTCACTGTGGATATGAGTAGCTTATAAATCCAAAGTAGTTAGAAACCATTTTAAAGCAACCTAGAATAAGCCACTGCCAAATACCATAAAGTAGTAATCTTGGTTTCCTGGTAACTAGAAAAGGATGTTTATTACAAATTTCAGCCATTGGCTGTATAGCCTTCAAAGGGAGAAACATTCATCCATTGAGTGTCTGAGCTCCATACTGGTCCCTTCTCAGGTTTAAAACTTTCAGTCAAGTCAGGGAAACATTCCTATCCCCATTTGACAAATGAGACAACTGATGTTCAAAGATATTAACTTCATTGCCCAAAGTTAGACAGTTATTAAATGAGAAGTAAATACTTATTTAGGTAGGAGAAGATTAGGATATTCAGGTTTAGGAAATCAGCTTTAAACATGAGCTGATTTACATATTAAAACTGACAGAAAATACTCAGCAGCTAGTCTCAAGGACATCAGGGCAAGTGACCACTGTCATTCTCTTGACCAAGGTTATGTCATCTATCACCTGTTCAAATGAATGGGTTACCCATATCCTTGTTCAAAGTGATAGTCATGTTATTTCAACAAGGATCCCAGTTATCCTGTTGCAGGGATAAAGCTAATAAAGGAAAGGAGCTTGGTTCTAACCTCCTCAGCTCAAGGGCTGAGGGCTGGAAAGGTAAAAGACTTCTTGTGGTTTTGTGCAGAAGACAAGCAGAGTCTACCATTTGCAAAGTGAAAGAAGAGAAAGTTTCCTTTACTTTTCAAAATTTATTTGTTGTTTTTCTACATCACTTAAAACATACCTTGTCCAGGAAACTCATCCCTACCAAATATAAATAACTGATATCCACACTGCCTTTCTAGCACCTCAGGGAGAACCTTGAATACCAGTGTGTCCACATTATAGCTCTGGCTTTCTTGTCGAGGTTTGGGGTACAAGACGTATGCATCATACAGCTTCCCATCTGAAAAAGAAATAGGGTAAGCTCATGGAATGATTCCTATCAAATTTTTCCTACATAAACAAAGTTAAAATCTGAGTTGCTACCATGATGTGCTTTTTGCTTCAGCACACCCAGTTGGCTGACTTGGTGTCAAGCATTGCTATTCTCGGCATCTCCCACTTTTAATAATTAAAATATACTTCACTCTCTTCTTGCTTGACGGTTTCTGAGAAGTCGAATATAATTTGTACTTTTGTTCTCTATAGGTAAGGTATTTTTTTTATTCTGGCTTCTTTTGGGATTTTTTTCCCTTATCTTTGATTTTCTGTAGTTTGAAAACAATATGCCTAGGTGTATGTGAGTTTATGAAAGACGGTATAAAAATTATTCAATTCCTTACTTTCTCCTGATATGATATTGCTAAATTTTAAAACTAATCAAAGTGGACCAGTGGAAAAATTACACAATCTATTTGGCTTTTGTGTAAGTGCTTTTACTGAAGATCATGAGGCTTGGTGCTATAGTGCTAACATGCACAGGCGACACTAGAAGAAAAGCCACATAAAACCTATTACCTTGATATTAGAAATTTTTTTGCACACAAGGTTCACTGCATCACATCCTTTAAAAATGAGGACTCCTCACACACAAAAAAATATACTTCTTAAGAATATTGTCCCAAGACTGGCCATGTGCTCTCAGGAGCAACCAAAAGGTTTCTGGGAACAGCACATAATGAATCCTGTAATTGCTTGTGCTTTTGCTTCTAAAACAAGCTCATCTTTAAAACCTGACCAAGATTTGTCATGAACTCTACCCTGGCTTTATTTTACCTTTCTTTCTTTATTTTCCTGTGTTCATTGTACCTATTTTGGTTTTGTTTTTAATTGTTCTGTTCTACATGAACTTCCCCCACAAATTTATTTGAAATAAGGTGAGGCATCACTTATGGAGATTTGTAAATTGATCCTTATATTTTTGTACACATATGCACACCTGGCAGGAGAATGTATAAAGTACCCATAAGACTTAACAGAGAATATACAGAACTCATGAGCTCTAACTAGACCTATTAATAACTCAATAAAACTGTGAGTTACACACATGTAAGTAGTAATCATGTGTAAAGCCTGACTAATCTATGGGATAAACACTTTATCATAAGAAGACACAGTTTATCTCTCTTCTCTGTGTTTGCCATCCATTACTCCACATGCTCCCAAATGACCAAAAACTAACCCTCCAGGAAAGCAAGGCTGGAGACAGTGTATGGGACACATCTTCCAGTATCATCACTAGCTCACTGTTAAAGCCAGTACTCCAAAGGATATTACAGGATAATTCTCATAGACTCAGCTGTCGAGAATTTAATTACAAAGTGCACATAGACTTTTCTGGATTTAAAAAAAAAAAAAGAGGAAAGAGAACCACTGACTGACTGTAGGCTTCCATTTCCAAATCCTCAGCCCGCTGGTTCTGAATTTGGCCTGCGGCTCAGGCTCAGCAGGGGGTGGGGCTCCCTGGGCCTCTCCTCTGCTCAGCCCCAGTAGCTCAGGGTGAGTCACTATTCCTTTTCCCTCTTCCTGCTAAACTTCACCTCACTAATAAGCAACTTCACCACCCACTCATTACTCATGCTCCCAAGAGCTGCAGTGAGTCAGGGAGTAACAAATGTCAAGGGGCCAGAATTCTGGGAACACCATCTAAGTCAATATAGTCCCCTTTCAATCAATAGAGAACAGCCAAACCACTTACATCTGTGTGTTAGAAAGGACAAGCGGTGGTTCATTTAATCTTCTTCTCAACCAGACACAGTCTGGAGCTCAATCACAGGCAGGCTTACAAGTAATGGCCTCTGTAGGGACTGCAGAGCCAAACAGAAACCCCATGTCCAGCTAGCTGTCTGTCCCCAGCACTCGAAGCTCTTCAGGTTGCACTGGAAACCCAAAGCCAGAGTTTCACAGTTGAATTTTGTCACCAAACAAAATTTCTTTGGTGTTCAAGGGCTGCCAAGTTTAAATTCTAAAATTCATTGTAGAATAAAGTCCAAGTTAGGCCATCTGTGTTTTATCACACTTGTGGACAACAACGCCAACCATGCTTTTTTTTTTAATATTCAAAGCAGGTACTTAGTGTAAACAATGTCCTTGTCTGTAACAGGGACTCATTAAACATGCTCTACACCTATATTCCCCATGTGTCTGCTTTTGTTAGCATTGCAATCCTCTGGACTTCGAAGGTATAAATATGTGTATCTCCATGCATATGAGCAACACAGGCCTTTCTTCAGCCTTCTATTTATTTTTTCCATCCAATTAGGGTACTTAAGAACAGATTTATTACTTTTTTTCAAGGCCTTGATAGAGCATATACATTCTGAAACAAATGCACAGGGTTGAGCAAAAGTAGGTTAACAGTTGTTCATATGGAAAATAATACAATAATAAATAACAATACAAGAATAAACTCATTTCAGAAACCTACTTTTGCCCCACCCTGTATATTGCAGGGTTAAAATCACAATGGTGTAAAATGCTTCCTCGGAGTTTCAGGATCATATTTAGACATTTCTGTGCTGAATAGTGCTAACAATGGAGGCTGACTCCCCCAACCAAACTGAAACCTCAAGACAGAGCAGCAGCATAGCTGCTTTGGCCTCCAAGCAACAAGGCAGCCCTCCAGTGCCCCAGGACTCCAGTGCTTTTTCAGACTTCAACTCAGTTCCTCACACAGCATTGTATGACTCAGGCTTTAATCTGTTTCCTTTCGCCTTTCCTCCCTCTCTCCCTCCTTTCCCCCCTCTCTCCCTCCCTTCCCTCTTTTATTTTTTCCTCATTCCATAGCTAAGAAAGATAAAAAGATTAAATACCTTTCTCAGACCACACAAGGAGTACATGGAGAACTCCAATTCAAACTCAGGTCTGTCCCTCCCCAACTTGAGAGTTAGAGACTTAAGTTTTTCAGGCACCAAGTATCAGTGCTATAACCACAGACAGCATGTGGACCTCCAGAACACATGTTCTTTTCAAGCATCCATGTACTGAGCATGTAACCAGGTGAAGAGAACTTTGCTAAGGAGAAATTGTCTTCTTTTGCTTATACCCATGGATGTGAGAACCATTCCTAAATGGTTGCAGTGGGACCTGGAGGATTTAGTCACTCAGTTACAATCAGCCTGTAAGCCTGATTTGACTGAACAATGCTTGTAGTCTTGAAAAAATCATTTCTCAGAAGTATGGAAAGTTCCAGGGAGATTTTCTTCCTCTAAATTTGCCAACATAAAAGGCAAGCTAAGTAAAATGTGGTGAAGTATATTTACAATGGTTATACAAATGAGTGACTAGCAATAATGAGGAAGTTTTCAGTATTTCCCCACACTTACCTTCTATAGTCTTAGTAGAGTAGAAGACGCTTCGATACCAAAGTGTAATGTCAATCTTAAAAATGTAGTAGATGTACATGACAAACACTGCCGTACCTGCAAAGGCCAGAAGCCCTCCTATCAAGTAAGCTCGAAAATCTGGCACTGCAAATGACAGCAAAATAATAATATTAGAAAGTGTCAATTGTACACTTATACAAATCACATTACAAATGTCATATGGAAATATATTAGATGTCAATGAGGATACTGCTTAAGTATTTCTTTATAGTTAAGTTGTAGGTATGAGAGTTAGAATAATCTGGTCTGACCCATGAATTTTAGGAAGCAAATTGCCCTTGGAATCTGAGGAGGGAAATTCTGTAGAATCCTAGTGCCCAGAGAGAGATACCACATACCTCCAATCTCATTAGGACTGCTGTCAAAACACACATGGCTAAGTCCTGCTTAATCAGCACTCAGATGTGAAGCCTAGCACATTGTTGGGAAAGTTCCCCTAGGTGGTACTGCCACATATTCTTGATTATGTTGTTGTAACTGCTTTCCCAGTTACTCAAAATTGAGCAGCAGGACTCATGTCATAAATGAAGAGCCATCCTTTGCCTCTCTTGGAAGCCATTTTTGTTGGTTCTACAAGACTGGCCAAGAGCCAAACTGCCACCTCAACCTCCCTGTGCCAACAGAGTCCAGCTTGGTGTCTATCTGAGAGATGCAGTCTCAGGAAGGGTGTTTGTGTCCTGCTTGGCTTTGTGAGCACACTGCAAAGCAGTTATGGGGAAAGTTGTAGGTAGAAGATGACTGCAGAGATAAGCCAGTTCCTCTGGAACTCCAAGTCCACAAGAAAAGCATTCCTTCCCACATATCTGACAAGAGGAACAGCACAGCTTTCTTCCTTACCACAACACCCACCTGTTCTACCAAAGAAGGAGGCTCTAAGAAAAAAGAGAATTCAAAAAAGGAAGGAAGGGAGAGGAAGAGAATTCTTTATTCTTAGAATCCACCACATACCCAACTTTCTTCATGAACCCCTTCTTGACATTCTAGTCCCCACTATAAGGTATGTTTAAGGGGAGGGTCACTTTTCTTTTAATTCTCAGTGCACTTTCACTTCTAAAATACTCATTAAAGAGCTTGTCACAACCTGCCCTAGGCCACACCATGTTGCAAACATTTTGAGTCCAAGACATCCCTAACTACAACTGTGTGTTTTCAAATAAGTGGCACAATGAAGCACAATATATATAAATGCATCTGTGCCAAAAATATATCAGTCCATTAAGTCCCAGCGCAGCCTAGTGGATCAGCTCTGCCCGCTGGTGCCCATTCTGATCTTGACTTGTTTGAACCTCTAGTTTCTAACTCGTACATGGAGTCTCCCTTCCCTTCCATTTTCCAAGCATCTTTGCCCTTCCCAAACTCTTGGAACACCAATGCCACCTCTCCCTTTGGGAGGATCCATGTCCGTGAACCCTTAATGTACACTTAAGGGGCCTTGGTATTATAAATGGTCATGAAAAGGAGACCATGCCCACAAAATTTATGATATTCAGACACTCCTGGTAAGTAGACAGGATTGATGGTCTGAAATTCTTGAATTGATCATTCATTGCATTCAAGAGTGTTGATATCTTCTGTTCTGTAAATGAGCTAAAAAATGAAGGAACTGGAAATAGAAAATAAATGAGTGAGTTCAAAGAGAGAATGAGCTTTGAAATTGAAATAGTGGAACACACACTGTTGAGACAAGATGCTTGTTTAAGACCATATAAGGGTGGTATTTGGGTCCATGTGACTGCTACCAGCCTTAAACTGAGATGGGAGCTAAAAATAGTGATTAAAAGAAATTTACAGAAGGTACACCCAATCCAAACAGCTTTATAGGAACCTTGCTTCAGACAAACTAAATAAAATTCAACAAAAATAAGGAAGTCAAATGAAGAAGTTATAACCTTACCTCTGGTCCCACGTAAATCCAAACCAGAGGCTTGGATTTAAGAGGGTAATGTTCATAAGAACTCAGGAAAAACAAAACAAAATGCATGTCTCTAAAAATACATTGTATGTGAAATGTGAAAAAAAGTATAGATAGGAACAAAGATATATATGGTAAGCACAAGTTTCTTAACTGACATACAGCAAAGGAGAAAAACTACCCCGTTTCCCTACTGCATGATTGACAGGTGTTAAATAATAATAGCATTATTCTTCTAAGCCTGGACTTTGGCTCAGAATCCTTCTGAACCCAGTGCTTCCAGGTAGTCAGTATCTATAACACAGTACTGACATGAAAATCTATGCTGGTCATTTTCATTCAAGGTTACTAAACAAAAAACTCAAACTTCTGGGTTGTGGCAGATTTCAATTTTAAATACTCCTGGTCTTGTGCAGTCTCCAAGACTTCCCATTGTCAGCTCCTCTTTTTTTTCTGGAGTTGGGGAGACCCTGAGTACTCTCTGTAGCAATTAATTGTACTTCTAATGATATATCATAGAGGAATGCTTCTCCATGAATATCAGCACACACATATGGGAATTTTCACAGCAGCATTATTTGTGAATAACTGCAAATTGAAAACAACTCAAATGATGACATATAGTAGAATAAATAGATTATGATTTAGTTATTCAATGGAAAGGATTCAGCAATAAAAATTAACTACAGCTACATGCTGCAGCACTGATGCAGCAATGAACCCCATAAACCTAAGAAGCAACACATAAAAGAAAACATATTATATAATTCTCTTTCATATAAAATTCAAAATCAGTCCAGTAAGCAGCTGGAAGTGCAGGGCTGCACATGAGAAGGGAGAATATAGTTGGAGATGTGGAATCACACCTGCACAGAAATGACAGTTGAAGCCATGCAAATAGGAAAGTTATCAGAGATGAGCATGCAGAAAGAGCAGCACTGATAATATAACTTCAGGAATGGCCCAAATGTGTTACTGAGAGATGCACGGAGTGATGAGGGGAAAGTGATCAAAAATGACTTTCGATGACAAGGGAAAGCCCTTGAAAGAAGGGAAAATGGTCAGTGGTGGCTGATAAACCCAAGGCTTCTTCTACCTGTTGCTACCCAAGAGGGTTTCCCATAGGTCCAAATGAGGAGAGGAAGTGCTGCATGCTCACTCACAGTTAAAGCAGCTGGGTACAGAGTGACCCTGGCTTCCAGGTCATAGAAGTGAACTCAGGGATGCAAGCTTCTGTGGGCATATGCCCATTCATTATTATTAGAAGTGAGGTGATGGACCCTCATGAGGTCAGGAACTTGACAGGAGCCAAGGCACATTTGATAGCTCCATACAGCATCCACTGGATTAATGTTTTATGGTAAGCTCTAGAAAAGCATTTCTGGTAGAACTTTAGGTAGATACATGGAAACATGGGTTTAACTGATTATTAAGAGATACTGGCAAAACCAAGCTCGCTCTTCTCTTGCATGGTAGATACCCAAGAAAAGAAGTTGATATTAATATAATCAAGAAAGAAAACCTGTCTTGGTAAGCCACACATTAACATTTTAGAAGGTGCTTCAAACACTTCCACTGATACATTAAGAATTTAAAGCTGTTCTCCAGATTATGATTATATCCATCACTATCTACCCTTTGGTTCTTTTACCTCAATGGATACTCCATATACTTTGCAAAAAGTTAAGAGAGCAATTTGTGTATATACATTAAGTTTGAAGGTCTTATGCTTAATATCAGAGTTCAGCCTTTACAGAAAATTTTACAAATTTACAGAATATACACAAACATTTTATTTTCATATCAAATTATTTATAACAAATAATCTAAAAGCTGCAATTCACAAGCACATGATTATAAATGTTGAATAACTGGGTTTAATAAAGGAACAACTCTGTTTTCTAGAATTTTGATCCATAAAACCTCAATGTACACTAACATAGCACTTTCAAAGCATACAGCATTGCAGTCCCCACCTGACTGCAAGAGCATTATCAGACGTGACATCAACTCTTCCCCAGATTTCATAGTGAGTTTGTCTGTTTAACACCACTCTGTTGCCTCACACCAAACATTTAGGATCTCTTATCTTTCATAAGCGTTTCTTTTACATCATTTTGAACACTCTGAACAGTATTTAACCCACAGGAACATTACCTGGGGGTTTTAAAATAAAGTACGCTGCAGACACACCAGCATGGCATGTGAAAGGATGGTCATAATCTTCCATTTTCACTTCTAGAAAGGTTATGTTCACTGTGTAAAAATTATGTTCCTGAAAAGAAACGTGATTTCTGTAAAAGAAAAGAGCCAATCATTAATACGTAAGTCATATTTTACCCAACATATTTTATAATCTTTAGTCTAGAGAATAAAGTTCTTTCCCAGGGACACTCTAAGTCACTTTATGCTATGAGTACTTCACTGAGTGTCTCATTGAGGTGTGCATTCTGTAGTTCCCAATTTGCATTATCTTTGGGGCAGTGTGACAAGGAAGCATGGTTCTGTTCATTATACAGGGAGAAGGGATCCAAATGTTCTGGAGGGCGGGCCCCTTGCAGTACAGGCTTCCCCCTCTAGGTGAGTGTTCTAGGAACTCATCTGTATCAGCATACCAGCTGGCCATTGGGAGAGCAGGAGCTCAGCTTCAGTGAAATTTTTGAAGATTCTTTCAGTGCACTTGCCCATTTCATGATGGGTGATTTACAAGCACACCTATCCACACTGCGTTTAGTGTTCAGCAGTTTTTGACCAAAAATGGCATGACCCCCATGTCCTTCCCTCCTTACTCACCTGATCTCACCCTGAGTGACTTTTTTTGTTTCCCCAAATTAAAAAGAAGTACTCAAAGAAGAATATTTTGTTGATAAGGAAGAGTTGAAACAAAAAACTGCAGAAGCAATAAAAGGCATCAAAATCAACAAGTTCAAAAACTGTTTCAAGCAGTGGAAAAAAAATGTCTCAATAGGTGTATTGCAGCAAATGAAGAGTACTTTGAAGGTGACTGAAGTTTAAACATGTAAGAATAAATACACAGTTTTTTTATAAATAAATTCCGAGAGTTTTGAAGTCTCTCCTCATAGACACCAACCTAAGCCCTAAGGATGCCCAGAGAGGACCTTCCCCTTTTCCTCTCCACTTACCCTGACTTATCTAAACTGTAAGGTCCAACAGAAGTTCTTTGGCCCTCTGACTTAATGAGTCTTGTTTTATACACTTGATTCATACCATCATAAACCTGGTTCATACAGCCTATCCGCTAATGATTATGCACTGTCTCTCTAAGAATGCCTGTTTTGCTACTTAAGCCTTGAAGGTTTGTTGTTCATCATATGACTAACAGGGAATGAGATCAGTTTTAAGCAGCAACTGACAGAAATTGATCTTGTTGACTATAGGCCATACTTCACGCTGCGCTTATTCTTGAATTAAGACTTAGGAGTGATTGATAATGTTAGCATCTCACACTTCTTTGCAGCAGTTGCTTACTCACATGTAACTCTGAGAAGATCTTTAAAGAGAAAGTCAAAAGGAATAATGAGTCAGTGAGAATCATCTTAAAAATCAGTACTAATACCAAATCACTTAAATGGAAAAAATGTTGCTAACTTTCAGAGAAGCCAGAAAAACAAAACACCTACTCAATTCCTTCTTGGACTCGCTTGGATTCTTTGTAGTAAATATCCACCAATGTGCTACTGACTTTCCAGCATCGTAGATTTGTATTATCTCTTGTGTCTGTTATGTTGCAGTTTACAATAAGGGTGGAGCCTATAAAAATCAAATTCACAAAAATTAAATAAAAATTCTACCAAAAATGACCTGGTTAAGAAATACATCTTGTTTTTGAACCTTGAATGCCTTTTGATTTACCAAAAATATGCTCCTGAGGTCAATATTAATCTACTTTGTTGGACAAGGACACGTGATCTTGCAGCCTTACCATTCATCTACACACATATTTACATTTTTATGCTAATCTAGTTTTTTGATTTTTTGTGATTTCTTCCACTTATTTTGTGTTTCACAAGTACATCGTTCTAACATTAAATAAATTTTGTCTATTTTTTATCTCACTTTTGTGGTTTTATTTTTATATGTACTTAATTCATCAAAAATATATTTTGTGTCTGATATGAAGTAGAATAAACTACATATTCTTCAAATTTAATAAGTTATACCAACATCACATATAATACTGTATTTCCCTTTCACCACTTATGTCATTTTCCCCAGTTATAAAATATATGATTATTTCAGGCATATAAAAATGCTCTTAGCTTTAAAAGTGTATTTTATACTGGAATACCTTACTGAAGAATTGCCAGTGAATGTAGGTTTTTAGAGAATTTTCTTAGAGTTTCCAAGTAGATATGCATAGATCATTTAAAGTAATTATATGTTTACCCTCCTCTTTCAAGGCTTTTTATCTCTTGTCTCTTTATTGTCTAAACACATTGGCTAGAATTTGTAAAGACAAGAATGGTGAACAAAGTTAATTAAGAGAGTTAATAACAGGAATACTTATCTTTTCTAGGTGTTTATGAAATCCACTAGAGAAGTCACATGGTAAGTGATATGTAAACAAATCCTCTATTATGGAAATTATTATTTCCTTGAAAGTTTACAAGACCTTTACTAAAACATGTAGGTGTAAAGCCTTTAAAACAGATTTCATCTCCTTTCTACTTATTGTTTTCTAAGTTTTCTCATTTCTTTCTTTTCTTTTGAGTTCCTCTACTTTTGGGGGATTATATTTGCTGGAGGTTTCTCTGTCTTCTCTTTCTATTCCGATGCCCCTTGCCCCCACCACCCTGCCCCAAGCCCATCTTTCCCAGAACGAACTCTGGAAATTATCACTTAATAAATTCATTTTTTAAACTTTTATCTTTGTTATTTTCTTCATGGAATTATTTACTTACCTTTTTTTCATTGTTGTTCAATTACAGTTTTCCCAATTTTCCCCTGTTGCTCTCCCCTGGCCTGACCAAACTTACACTCCCCTCCTCCCTTCTCCCACAGTGAATTCGCACCCTGTTGCCCATGTCCGTAAGTCCTTTATACATGTTCCTTGACTTGACCCTTCTCCTTCTTTCTCCCATCATCCCCCTACTCCCTCCCCTCTGGTCACTGTCAGTTTGTTCCTTATTTCCATGTTTCCGGTTCTATTTTGTTCATTTGTTTGTTTTATTCATTACATTCCACTTATAGATGAGATCATATGGTATTTGTCTTTCACCACCTGGCTTATTTCACTTGGTGTTAATACTCTCCTGTTCCATCCATGCTTTAGCAAAGGGTAGGAGTTCCTTTTTTCTGCTGGGTAGTATTCCATTGTGTAAATGTACCACAGCTTTTTGCTCCACTCATTCACTTATGGGCACTTAGGCTGCTTCCAGTACTTGGCTATTGTAAATAAAACTACTGTGAACATTGGGGTGCATAGGTTCTTTTGAATGAGTGTTTCACAATTCTTAGGGTATAATCTCAGCGGTGGGATCACTGGATCAAAAGGCAGTTCCGTTCTTAGTTTTTGAGGAAATTCCATGTTGTTTTCTAAAGTGGCTTTTCTAAAAATAGAGTTAAATGGTTGGTTTATGCATTTTAATTATTTCTACACTTATTATTAAAAATGATGATACTTGTACCTTGTTTAGAGTTCAGCCTTGCTCACATTTCATGAAGCTTGATTTGTCTTCACTGCCATTATTTTCTAAATATCTGTAACTATGGCTTTGAACTAAATCTAATCAGCAAAGCAAATAATTAGAATATATACTTGTCATTGCCTAATTTTTTAAATCAGTTAATTTTATTCTTGTGGAGTTTATTATTATTTTAACTTTAGTTGTAAATTTCTAGACTTAATGCATTGTGATTGCACCATACGGTCTGTTTAACTTCTTCTTTTGGGACTCTGAGTTTTTCATAGATACTTATGATTGTGATTTACTTAATATATTATTCTTATCATATGACTAGGATCTTTTAGAGAGAGAGAGAGAGAGGAAAATAGAGGATAAAAGAGAGAGAGAGAAAGAGAGAGAGAGAGAAATACCAATTAGTTTTCCACTTATTTACACATTCATTGGTTGATTTTTGTATGTGCCCTGACTGGGATTGAACCTGAAACCTTGGCATATTGGCCTAGCCAACTGAGCTGCCAGCCAGGACTTATTATTAGAATCTTTTAGATCCTGATTTGACTAAGAAATTTGTCAAATTCAGAGTATGTTAAAATTTCCCATTATAATTAAAGCAATTGTATTGTCTTATTATATATTTTTTGTATATCTGAGAGTTTTAGTTTCAAATATTCTAATGCACTGCTATTTGACATACATACATATATATATAATATATTTTATTTTAGGAGGTATTGTAATTTTATTAGTACCAAATAATTCGATTTGTCATTTAATTGTTTGCATTGAAAGATATTTACCAGAGTGAATGATTAATGTTGCCAATCTGATTTATTTGTGTTAATTTTTGCAAGACATAGTATGCTTATGAATTTATATTTAATTGTTTAGGTCATGTATTTTTAGATCTATATTCTTTTGAAAACAATATGTAATCATATTTTAATATTTGACTCAACCTGAGAATTTGTCTTTTAATAAAATTTTGTTTAGTTTACTTTTTTTCTTCAGAAAGTACTCAACATGTTTTTATTTTGCTGTGATTACCTTTTAAAATTGAAAAAATAATTTGAGTTCCTTCTTTTCCACTTAGATCACAAACTGAGACAATGTTTACTGATCACTTCCTATGTTAAATAAGTAATATAACAATATAACTCTCCTTACTTTTTAAATATACTTTCCAGTTTAAGACTATATAATTCAGAATTCTTGACCAACATTATAGTAGTACTTTTATATTATGTGTCATCTCTTTGAGGACTTATTTTTACATTTTCACTGCTTTTGCATAAACAAATTTACATTAATCATTTAGACCAGTGATTTTCAACCTTTTTCATCTCATGAACTGATTACACATAAACTGATTACTAAAATTTTGCCACACACTAGAAAATATATTTTTTTGCTGATCTGACAAAATAAATGGGTATAATTTTGATTCATTCACACCAGACCTCTGTTGTTGTGTTGCCTGTTGTCATTTTCTTATTTGACAAATAAAAGAAAAAGAGGTTAGTGTCCCTGATTCAATAGTCAGCTATTGCACGTTTTAAAAATTCTTGCACATATCAGTTGAAAAATAGTTGATTTAGACCCATAGTGCTCACTGCCAGACCTTTGATACTATAACTTCCCCAGGATCCAGGTCTCTTGTCTTTTTATTTTTATTACTTTTCTGATGAATGCAGGTACATTTGAAGCTGGCAGCTAGATGTGTATGGAAGTTGGCTTCATCCTTGAAATTCAAAAAATTCACTAGAATATGTGGTCATACTTATTTTTGCCCTTAGTGATTTCAGTGGCTTTCATAACTTTACTCACCAAGTTGTGCTTCGATTGTATTGTTTGTTGGATAAGTTATTTTAGGGATTATTCCTCCATGTCCAACATTTTCTGCTAAGAAATTATACCCATATGATATTGCATTAGAATCACGATATATTCCCAACTACTTTAATGTGATAATAGCATAAAACAAACAAGCAAACAAACACGTGGCACAGAGCAGACCTTAAAAAAACATTTGTCAAGAAAAAAGTTGAAGCATCATGTCACAAAATATCCACCACTTACTAAATACCTATTCTTGGCCAGGCACCTCAGTAGCTGCTCTATGTACATAATCTCAATTTTCATAAATAAATGAAGAATTTTCTGTTTTTTCTATTTTTTTCCCCAATACAGTTAACCAACAGTTTTGAGTATTCTGTTTTCTCAGATGAGGAAATTAAACTGCTCATGCTCTTTTGCCTCATTCTTTCTACCTTCCGACTCTAATAATGACAAGTTTTTGAGCCTACTAACCTTCAGGAAAATTGATATAAAGAATCATTTCTCTCAAGTCAGAAATTGTCTTACGTCAGTGCTGAGAGGAAGTTCCGCAATTAGTACACACATACTTACTGACATTCACAGTAATTCTATGTAAAACCATGTATTGTTTTCCTGCATGAGTCAGTCTGGCTTTACAGGAATAGTTCCCTCTGTCCTCTGCCGAGACATTGCTCACTGACAGCTTTCTTTTTCTTTCCCAATAAGCAAAGCGCTCTCCTTTAATCTCCTTACAGTCCTTAAAAAAAAAAAGTTCAAAGAACATTTTGGGTATCAGTGATATTCCTAGTTGACACCATTCTGTAAACTGTGAGGGGATACAAGAAACCTATGTGGTCCCTAGGTCCCTGGACATTAAGTAGTTTATTATCCAACAGATATATATGTATACTCTCCAGAAGAGTTGACAGAAAATATTTATTTATTTTGTAGAGAAAGAGAGGGAGAGAAACATTCATATACATTTGTCTCTCACATACACCTAACTGGGGAGCCGGCCAGCAACCCAGGCATGTGCCCTGACTGGAAATCAAACTGGCAACCCTTCAGTTCACAAGCCAGCACTCAATACACTGACCCACACCAGCCTGAGGGACAAAGAATATTTAACAGGGTAAAATGAATGTTATATATATTATCTAATAGAATTTGAATGGACAGGCTGGAAGGAAGACTTCATGGAAGAAGACTGATGCGGGCCACGAAGGAGTTTCGTAGAAGGATGTGAACGGGCAGGAAAGATCCTCTACCTACAGGGACCCATCTCTCCCAGTGGACTGACATTCTATTTGGAAGGATGCTGACTAGGCTTAGGAACAGCAAGTGTCTTGTCACTTCTCATATCTCCCATGCTTCCACTGCATCAACAAAGAAACAGTCCCACACCAAAAAAACTAGAACGCTGGTTAGTTTCAGGGATCATTAGCATCCATCCAGATTGCAAGTCTCACTATTCATCTGTCCTATCAGAAGCTCACATTCTCATTCATGTTAATTACCACTTCTTCCATCTCACAGGCCCACTTCTGAACTCTCTCTCAAATTTTTACCCTCTCTTCAGGAAGCTCCATTATACAGGGTAACTTCTTGGACAACTGAGTCCATTTTACTCATTCAAACACTTAAGTTCCTGCTCTTTGCTAGCATTGTGAGAGACTCTGGTCTTACACAAATAAGATGTAGTCCCTGGCCTCCAAAAGCTCATAATCATGATAACACAGAAGAAAAACATGCAAACTCTTAATTTATAAATAAAGATTTAATTGCCCAAGTTTTAGATCTCATTCTCTGTCATTAGAGCAGTGTTAACAAATGGATCTCAAAAGGTGAAATTCAATAATGCCAGAGCAAACAGTTGATGACTACAACGTAAACTACAACTTTCTAGAAGTCTTACATTATTTCTGTATAAACACCTCATATGGAAAACTTAATTGTAATTGTACAATGGCTACCAAATGAAATAGGAATTAATAAGAGCCAGAAGAGTGAAGCCTCTGATAATGTAATGTTGCCTTCTTCAGAGCAGAAACAACAACAACAAAAAATTAAACCCTTGGACTGTGAAAACCTTTTCCCTAGATGGCTGAGATAGGCACAATTTCTGGGTCTTTCTTTCTGTTTCCATCATTGACCAGTCCCCCTTTCAATTGACTCATCCTTTCTTTTAAGAAGTACATACAAATATTTAACAATATTAAAGTTTAGCCAGGCTAGCTTAAGAGCCATTCTATGCTTTTACTGAAACCAGGACAGCTTCTACCATAATTCACTGAAGCATTATTTTAGAGTCTAAATTCTCAGAAGGCTTAGGTTTTTATTTAACAATTCTCAGGTGATAGGTCACTAATAAGATTTAAAATATTCATAATACCAGTAGCCAATATTTGAATATTTCATATCTCAAGCACAAAAAAAACCCACTCCTTGTACAGTATGTACAACAGTTCTGAAGCATAATAAAATAGTCCAGAGCCTCTGGCTAAGATGCTGTAACTGTGGGAGAATAATGAAGATGAAACCAGAAAGACAGGCAGGAGCCCAGTCATAGAAAATCATAGAAAGGGATGAACATTGGAAGCTTTTGAAGCAAGGGAATAAGAAGATTGCATTTGCATTTGAGAGTAATCTATTTGGTTGCTGTATGGGAAAGAAAGGTAGGACAGTCCAAAAACTATGAAAACATTTAAGAAGTTATTTCCATTAACTTAGAGCATTAAGTAAGGCAATGCAGTGATGACAGCAAGAAGAGGACAAAAAAAAAAAAAAAAAAACAACAATCATTTTAAGCAGTTCTAATCTACAGAATTTAGTGAAAATTTGGAATATGAAGAAGGAACAGGACTTCCATGATCCCAGCTTCTTTACACAAAGGTATTGTTAGAAAGGAGAGAGAGTGTAAAAAAAAAAAAAAGAAAGACAAAGAAAAAAAGAATGATCAGATTTGGAGTTAAGATAAAAAGTTGCTCTAAACATGGTGACTATTGGGAGTTGTAAGGATGGGAAGGTCTAAGTAGAATACATATTAGGCTATTGAAAAAAGTATCCAGAGGTTAAAAGAAAGGTAGAAGTGGGAGAGAGTTGGGAGCCATCTGTATATGGATGGCTCTATGTCTATCCCCATTTGAATGTAATCAAAGCAAGAACAGAAGATGACCATGGCTGAAATTGAATCCCAAAAATCTCAGACTCAAACATAGAGGATGAGAATCCCGTGATGATTACTAAGGAAGAACTGGGGGACAAGGTAGGAGTGGAATGGAGATTAAAAATTGAGTATCAGAGAGAAAGAAAATGGAGGAGAAAGGAAGATGGTGGAAGAGTGAATGGGAGTCACACTGACCTCCTCCCAAGACCAAATTACAACTAAATAGTGGAGAAATGACCTGGGAAACAATGGAACAATAGAGGGAAAGGAGCCTTGGAGCCACGGACAGACAGTGGATTCAACTCTCACACATCCCAATGGGTGAGAAGTGCAGTGGAGGCTGGAGAGGGTGGGCTGTGCACCCGCTGGCACTAGTACCAGAGGGACATTGAAACGGCCAGTTGGATCCCCCTGAGAAGAGCAGGGTCTGAACCATAAACAGGGACCCCTAGACTACAGCACCTAAAACCAGGAAAACACACAGATGAAATGCAACCCCGAAAAGCTTAGGGGCACTCTCTGCCAGAGACAGGTGGCTAGGGATGCAGAGAGACATTTAAAGGGCCAACGCAAAAATTTGCAGTGGCAGCCGCCCTCCTTGATCTCTGGGTGGAGGCGGCAGCAGAGTGGGCTGGTGCCTGGGAAAAGATTGATGAGGAAAACTTTGTGAAGAGAACTGAGACGGCGGCCAGTGGAGCCCTGATGATAACTCACCTCCCACTCTGCAGCTACCATCTTGCTCAGGCATAAGGGAATCAGTTAACCTGCCTTTTGTGCCCTCCGCACACAGCTTGTGCACATGTGAGCTAGGGGGCTAAGTGCAGACAAGCTGGAAGAAATAGAGGATCCCTGACCAAAGGGGTCACACAGCTGCATACAGAGCCTTAAGAAGAGACTAGAAATGGAGGAGTTAGGGAAAGAATGGGAGGAGGAACTGGGCAGTCCTGACTCCCTCCCCATTCAGTATTCCATTTTGCGCAGGAAGGAAGCACCCCCAAAGAAGCAGAAGCAGGGCCCAGATGAGCCAGAGGCCCACGATTACAATGCGGTTCACAGAAATAGTGGATCCCTGGCCGAATGGGTCACAAAGCTGCCCAAAGCAGGAGTCAGACACAAACAGTAGACTCCTGGAAGGCTAAAAAAAAACAACCCAAGGTCATATAGGGTCAACAACTGACATCATCAGAGGCAGGCCCAGAAAGGAAAGTAAGAAAAAATAAATACATACATAAAAAGACCCGCCTACTACCATAGAAGTTTAATCCACAAGTCAGGAAATCTAGATGGATCAATTGAAACAGAAGCAAAAATTACTTACTTACTTACTTACTTACTTAACAGACTCTCACAAAAATGGGAAGAAAAAAAGATCCTCCCAAATGAGTGGAAAAGGAGACGCCCCACAGAGAGAGCTAAATGAAATAGAGGCAAGGGAACTATCAGATATTGAATTCAAAACAATGCTTCTAAGGAAGCCCAATGAGCTTAGCCAGCTCAAAGATAACTATGAAAAACTGCACAGAAACTTTCAGGATCTTACAGCAAACTATATAAACCTGGAAAAGGACATAGAAACTACCAAGAAGACACAAGAGGATATGAAAATACCATTTCTGAATTAAAGAACACAGTAGAAGGAATCCAAAGCAGGCTGGATGAAGCCGAGAATCGAATCAGTGAGATGGAGGATAAGGTAGAAAAAAGCTCCCAGAAAGAACAAGAAATGGGAGAAAAAAATCAAAAAGAACTAAGAGGCATTTAGGGATATGCAAGACAACATGAAATGCAATAATATCGGCATAATAGGGATACCAGAAAGAGAAGAAGAGGAGCAAGGGATAGAGAACCTCTTCGAAAAAGTAATGATGGAAAATTTCCCCAATTTGAGGAGAGAAAAGGTCTCATGGATCCAGGAGGCACAGAGGGCCCCACTCAAGAGGGACCCATGGAGGTCCACTCCAAGACACATCATCATTAAAATGGCAAATGTAAAAGACAAAGAGAGAATCCTCAAGGCAGCAAGGGAGAAGGAGAAAGTAACACACAAGGGGGCCCCCAGTAGGGCAGGAGCTGACTTCTCAACAGAAACATTACAAGCCAGAAGGGAATGGCAACAAATATTCCAAGTCATGAAAATCAAAGGCCTACAACCAAGGCTGCTCTACCCAGCAAGGCTCTTAATTAAAATAGAAGGAGAAATAAGTAGTTTCACAGACAAAAGGCTAAAAGAATACATCTCTACCAAACCAGCTCTCCAAGATATGCTAAGGGGACTGGTTTAAGAAGATGAAGGAAAAGAATGAGAAAGAGAGGAACACAGGTATAAAGAGAAAAGATGAGTAAGTTTCTATCAGTAATAACTATCAATGTGAATGGACTAAATGCCCGAATCAAAAGACACAGGGTAGCTAAATGGATAAGAAAACATGACGCATACATATGCTGTCTACAAGAGACCCACCTCAAAACAAAAGATCCACACAGATTGAAAGTAAATAGATGGAAAAAAATATTCCAAGCAAATGGGCAAGAGAAGAAAGCAGGGGTTGCAATACTATTATCAGACAAAATAGATTTCAAAACAAAGGCCA